ATGTGGCACCTTCACAGCACCCCTGAAACGATCTCAAGGCACCCTGGTTAGGAATCATGATGAGACATTCCACATAAATACATGGGAAGAGAATCAGTAATTTCTGTACACTGATCGCCATCTGTTACAGAAATTTAGTTGTCTTCCATCCATTTTAGTGAACAACAGCCTGCTTATGTGCCTTTATTAAAGTCCTTCTTTGGAAACAGGCCAGAGGGGCAAAAAGTAAAATCAGCTTGAAACAGAAAAAGAGTTTTTTTCTCTATTTCTCCCAGACACAAAGATGTACAATACACCCACTCACACACCAATCTCTATAAATTATTACAAGCTGGGAAGAAAGAAAAAAGTTATTTCTGTTTAAATATATAGTACTCTAATGCTACAGTAATGAAGGCCACATATACAGAGTAGCTAGATAAAGGCTTTTTGCTACTATTGTACCACGCAGTCATATAAACAGTTTCAAAGCAGTCATACAGAACTGCTTTAAAAATAAAAATGCACACATATTGACATGGGAGAGAAGTAGCAGCAGCATGGACACAGCATGCAGATGCCCAGCCCTTGTGCAGCTCCCCACAGGTTGGTAGCTACAGATATGCTACAGCCAGGAAGCTGGAGGTAGAGGAATTTGTGACAGCATGGGCGCAGCTCCTAGCTGCCTAAATCCAGTAAAGCCACCAGCTCCCGTTGAACAGAGCCAGGACAGGGAGAAGCAGGAGCACCACCAGCTCAGCTAGAAGCTGCCTGACCCCAACATGGGCACATGCAAAGGCCTCCAGTTCCATAGGCCAGATCCAGTGGCTCTGCAAGGTGAATCCGGCCTGTGGGCTGTATGATGCTGACCCCTGTCTTAGGCAATCATGAACACTTTTTAATTAAATAAAAACCAAAACCAAAAACTTGGTATACCATCAAAGTGCTAAGACTGAGCATTCTTTTCAGGCTGATCGGATTCCACCTTGTAGTTTAATAGCAAAGTACACTTCTTTCCCAGAGACAAAATATAAATATGTTGTATGGGCAGCACAGAGGGCAAGAACTCTTATTTCCACAAAACACCCTCCTGCAACAGTCATTAGTTTAGTTAAAATCCAAGGGTTTCAGTTCACTTCCTATTCGAAATACAACAGCTCCTGATAAAGCTTTAGCTTCCACTAGAAGATGATGCCCCTCTCACTACTGTTTCTCTCCTCTAAGGATGGAGTCAATAAATTGGGGTCCCTTCAATTCACTGAAGTGGAGAAAGACAAAGTAGCTTTGGTTATCAGTGGACCTTACGTCTGGCACAAAACAGTATCTTTCACATAAGGAGGAGGGTGTTAGAATGCAAGTAGTGCTATTTCTATATTTATATTATCTGTTAAAAATGTTACCAATAGGCAGTTTTAGATCTTTTCCCAGCAAGGGAAAAAGGAAGCAATAAAGAAGACAGAATTATATTATATGACCCAGTTGTTTGGAGCTAAATGGAGCAGTGAATCATAGATTTTTTTTTTAGAATGACTCTTAAAGAGCAAGAAACAGCATCAGCTTCCTTCAGAGAAGTAAAAGAAACACAAAATCTCTAGGATAAACAACGTCATATGAATAATAGTATGCTGTCAGTCTCCCACAAGCAAAATCTAGTGTTTGAAAATCGAACAAGGTGAATGAATGGTTCAGTGTACAACAGGAAGTGGAGCTGTTTGCTGCTAGGTCATCAGTTTGAATGCAGAAACGTCAACAGTGACTCAAATAGTTACAACTCAGTAACTTTATGAAATTTGTCAGTGGCCTCCATTCACTTGCTGCAAACACATATCCATTTAGAAAAGTTGCCATCATATCTAGGACCCTTGTTAGAAACTTCAGAGACACCAAGAATAAAATCTGTTTGTAGACTATAAAGCCTAGGAAATCCTTCCTTCAAGAGAGCACTAAGGTAAACTTGTAAAACTATACATCTGTAAAGAGAAGTTAGAACTTCTGGAACAGCCTCTTCTGTACCTACCTGTAGACAAAGTGAGGATTTTAACCTCAGTGGCATGAGTTTAACAACTTGGTACCAAAATCACTAAGCTCCTTCAAGTGTATTCACCCTTTTAAAGGTGAAGATATTCCCAAAAGGAAGTAGTTAAGTAGAACAGCAAGCATACTACCACCAATTCTTGTTGCCCACAAAGCTACAAGCACAAGGGAAGCTTAAGCACCCTGCCACCTAAAGAAATTCACAACACCATGCAATGCATGGGAAGAGTCAGTTGGCAAAAGGTAGAAACAGGTGCCAAACTGAAGCGGATCAGCTGGGGCAGGACACATCCCACCCAGCTGATCTTTACTGGGCAAAAATCATGCTGCCCATTGTCCTGCAGAGGCCTGATATGAATAATGGAATATGTGTTTCCCTTGCCTGGATTCCCTGCATCCCTCACTGCCCCATATCTCCTTTCCAGGACCTGCAAAGGTATGGGTCAGTGCAGGTCCTGGCACAGAGGTACGGGAACCAGTGAATCCCCAGCACCCCATGTCTCCAAATCAGAACCTAAGCTGACCCGTGCCTCCTGGCACCCTGGGGCTCCAGTCTGGGACCCAAGCTGACCCGTGCCTCCATGTGAAGCACAGGTCAGCATGGATCCCAGAAAGGAGGCACAGGGTTGTGAAGAAGCAAGGGAATTCTTTTCCCTGTGCCTTCATGCTGGGACCTGCACCAGGTCCTGTACCACCCTGTGCTTCAGGCAAAGTCAGGGTCAGTGCCAGTCCTGGCATGGAAGCCCCAGAGATTCCCCAGCTCCTGCACTACCCCATGCCTCTGCATGAAGCACAGGTTGGTGTGAGCCCTGGTGCAGGTCCCAGTGTGGAGGCATGGGGCACTGGAGAGATTCCTCAGGTGCCATACCTCCATGCCAGGCCCCATACTGGATTTCCTTGCTTATGGAGAAGTGTGCCTGGAGATCCTGGGCGGGCCTCCATAAGCAGGGAACCCTGACTTTTTCCATTTATAGAGACTTGCCCAAAGATTCACTGGGGCATGTCTCTGTAGGCAGGGAAAGTCAGGCAGGTGGCTCCAGGGGCCCGAGGGGTTTGATTTTACCCAAGATGTGCAGGATTCGGCCCGTCAAGCCCCCAGAACACCTGCCCAGGGTTGCTGGAAAGTGTTGGCACCTCTGGGCTACCCACCATCTCCAACCACAGAACAAAAAGATGTCCATTGCAATAAAGCAGGCAAATTTATTACTACCTTTTGTTGAAACCTCTGATGTGTCACGACACAGGACAGGGAGGTCCATTTACCTGCCATTTGTGCTGCCATAAAAATTGTTATGGTGGCATAAATGTGACATCGGGTGACGACTGTTTCTATTTTAAGAATGTAATTTATAAGAGCGTTCACATTAAGTGGGGAGCTGTTTAAGCTAAACCAGTAGTTTCATAGATTTCATAGACTTCATTAGGGCTGGAAGGGACCTCAGAAGATCTTTGAGTCCAGCCCCCTGCCCCAGGGGCAACAAGTCAGCTGGGGTCATAGGATCCCAGCAACATAAACATCCAAATGTCTCTTGAAGGCGTTCAAAGTAGGTGCTTGAACCACCTCCGGCGGCAGCCTATTCCAAACCTTGGGGGCTCAGACAGTAAAGAAGTTCTTTCTTATGTCCAGCCTGAAACGGTTATGGAGGAGTTTATGACCGTTAGATCTTGTAGTGCTCAACCTTTCAGCACCATGGCTCAAATAAATAGTATGGGGCCCACCTGAGGGCTGGATTTGGCCCTGGGGCCTGGCACAAACCCATCCCTAACCTGAATGCTGGGATTGGCCCTGGGGGCCCAGCACCACCTCCACCTTCTCCACCCCTCATGCACTGTGACTGGAACCCAGGTTCCCAGCACCATTTCCTCCTGTGGGGACTGGATCCCAGAACCAGTGCGCAGGGCTCAAGGATCACCATGGGTCTGGAGATTTGGCAGAAGGGGAGCAGTGCTCCCCCACCGTCAATCTTTTAGACCCCTGGGGGTGCTCCACAGACCAGATACCATGGTACTGTGGACCGAACGTGATGAAGCAGTTGGCAAAGCCAATTGCACCTTGCTGTGCATCTGTAGGTGCTTCGCAAACAAATCCAGGGAAGTGATTCTCCCCCTTTATGTGGCACTGGCCAGACCACAGCTGGAGTACTGTGTCCAGTTCTGGACGCTGCAGTTTAAGCGGGATGCGGACAACCTGGAGAGGGTCCAAAGGGCCACTCACCTGATTAGAGGCCTGCAGGGAAGGACCTACAAGGAAAGGCTAAGGGACCTTAACCTCTTCAGCCTCTCCAAGAGCAGGCTGAGAGGGGACCTTGTGGCGGCGTACAAATTCGTAAGGGGAGAGGAACAAGAAATAGGTGATGATCTGTTCACCCGGGCACCCCCTGGAACGACAAGCAACAATGGCCATATGCTACTAGAGAGAAAGTTTAGGCTGAACATTAGGAGAAAGTTCTTCAAGGTTAGGGTTGCCAGAATCTGAAATGGGCTCCCAAGGGAGGTGGTGCTCGCTCCCTCCTTGGGGGGCTTCAAGAGGAGACTGGACAGGCATCTGGCTGAGATCACATGACCCCAGGGCTGGTGACTCTCTTCTTGCCTGCCAGGGGCAGGGGGTCAGACTAGATGGCCCACTGAGGTCCCTTTTGACTCTATGAATCTGCCCCGCAGGCAAGAGGTTGAGCACCCCTGAGCTAAGCAATAGGAAATACCAAGGGTGGGGTAAGAGTGAATATTGCTAATAGCTATAATCAGATAGTTTTATGGATGGCCTCTTCAGGAACATAGCTCATGGTTTTGCATTTGGTGTTAATCAAGTCTGCCATATTCATTAACTTGCTTTGTGGAAAAGTGAGCAAGTCTGAGCTAGAAGTCATTTAAAAATAAGCAAAAAGAGCTTTCCAGTCACTTCTCAGAGTAAAACCACATTTTAAGTCAGAATCAGGAGAGAATTATAAGGAGGACAAGGCATACCACATTTTGTTCCATTCACTTACTTTCTCCATCTCCATCTTTATCAAATTCTTCAATCATAGCCCGCAGTTCCTCATCTGTCATGTTTTCACCAAGTTCTCTAGCAACACGTCGTAGGTTTCGCAGGCTTATTTTACCTGAATCGTCATCATCAAATAATTTGAATGCTTTGAGTATCTCTTCTTGTGGATCTCTGTCCAATATCCAGTCTGTCACTAAAAAGTGGGAAATATGGTTATTATTTATTTTTAAAAATGCCAGTTGCATGTTATCACAATGCTTTTCTAAAAGCAAATTAAGCCTTTGGCTTTTAAAATTAGCTCACTGGTTCAAATTTCTCTTAGCCCTTAACCTAGGCATTTTAATGTGCATCTCAAGCTTAAATATTTCTAGCAATTAATTGTTATTGTACTACTGTACTGTTGTTGACTTTTTTCATCTCTTCCTTTCAGTTTTAGTGGCAATACTGCACATCAGGATTGGGACCCAGTGAAGAAAGAATGGTTTAAAATTCTCTCTCCTGTGCAGTCAAGAAGTCAGATTTGGATATTAAATGCTTGCTGTATCTTAATGAGGCACCAGTTGTGAAGTGCAACATTTACTCTAATGCAACAGAAAATGTAACTTTGGTTTTACTGCCTTTACGCTTTGCTTCTGAAAAAACAGGACAGAAAATCCAAATTGCTTCAATATTGTGCACTGTAGATTTGGTAGTCCTTAGAAAGGATGCTTAACAACTCTTCTGCCTTTTTTTGTTGTTTGAAAAGTGGTTTAATAATGGTCACTTCCTGTTGCTCCATATTTTCTGGCCATATTGCATAAAAGAGAGTAAGTCCCTGATGCAGATCTATCAACAATCCAATAAAAATTGCTGCCATCAGACACAAGCTTACAGAGCATGATGATAGATAGCCATTGTATAAATACTGAACTTAGACAAAAACAATTAGTAATGGTCTTCTTACTAATACAAAATATTCACGGAGTAAGGAAGGGTAGCTGAGAACTAAGGACAGTGTAAACAGAAATCTGTTTAGGGTAAACAGTCACAGCACATACTTCTTAATAGTGCTTTTGGCTCTCCTCTATTTCTTCTAGTTCTGTTTAATATCCGTATACCTCCTTATTTGTGTTCCTTTATCTTTCTACCTGGCAGTTTAGCCTCACTGTGCTTTTGAAGAGTAGTGCTCCTCCACTATGTCAGTTTGTACACAATCCTTATTTGTTGGAAACTCGTGTTGAGGAAGAAACTCTAAGTCAATGGTCTCCAAGCTTTTTAAGTAGATCACCTTTGGCATTTAAAAGCAACCCAAGATCAACTGTGTGCTGTCACCACCACCCTTCCCCGCCCAGCAGGTCAGTCTGTGGGGAGGGATGGGGAGGAAGGGGGCAGATCGAGACAGAGGGAGAAAAAATTATTTGGGGGCGTGCCTCCCCAGCAGGTTAAGTCCCACTTGTCCAGAGCCTCACTCAACTTACCACTGCTCCTGCCTCTGCAGCACTGTCTCTCACAGCTGGGGCCTCGATTTAGTCCCCACCCTTTCTCTCCCCCACAGACTGACTTGCTGGGCATGCACATGGGCACTCAGCCCCCCACCCCAGCCTCAGATCGATTCCAAGAGGCTCTGAGATCTGCCACAAGAGGCTCCAAGATCTACCGGTGGACCAAGATCCACTGGTTGGTGTCCACTGTTCTAAGTTTACAAATGTGTAGATGAGAGTTGTTTACTCCTAAAGTTTGTAAGATTCTATTAGTTGCTACAGAGGGAAAAGCAGCTGGGCCTTAAGAATCTCAAGGTAACCAAAGGAGTTACAATAGAAAAATTAAAGACAAAGAAGCTCAAACCCTACAGGTTAATGAAAGGGTTTAGAAAGGGTTTACACAGAAAGACACTAATTCAGAATGGTTTAGTCTGTCTTGATTATTCCTTTGGTTATATCCATTTATCAGTTTCTGTAATATAAAATGAAAAAGAGGCAAAATAACTTGTCACATACAAATATTTTGCTAGTAATTGCTTCAGTCAATTCTGGAGCCAGCAGAGTAAAAATCTTCACACACTCTGTACCTGCTAGTCTTGTATTACAAGACTTGCTATTTACGACTTTCATCAAGCCATTAAAAATACTTCACCCCTGCTGGGGCTTACAGAACCATTTAGAAACTGCTATTGTTTGCAGATGGAATGCACTGTCTGGTTTAGTGAACCTGACAAGAAAAATTCAGAGCTAAACTCCCAAAGAGCTTACTGCAACTATGCTGCAAAAGTGCAGGTTTTTGATTTAGCTTTAAAATAACTACCTTTGCTTAATAGTATTAAATCATTTGAACCATGTAAATGTGTTATAGGGACACGACAACTGAGATTTATTTAAAGAGTACTACAAAAAAAACTAATTGAGACATATTAACCTAAAAGATAAAAATATAAAACATTTGTAAATATCAAAAGCAATACCTTTGATCTTTTATATAATACTTTCCTATATAAATCAAGACAAACTATTCAAATACTTATATATTTTTATGTAGCCCATTCTTGTATCCCTGCGAGTAAACAACATTTTGTACTAAACTTGGTAACGAAGTTGGTTAAGATTTATTTTTCCCCTCTGTATAATTTACTTCACAGGAGGCCCAAATGGGCTCATATATAGTTTACTGTGCTTATTCAGGCACTTAAATATTACCTTTCCTGTTGCCTATATTCCCTCACTCCTGTTCTTTCAGCTAGAACTTACATCACTTATTAATAGAGGAGAAAGAACCTGGTTAACTTGAGTTGCAATCACTTTCACTAGAGCTGAATATGGCTCAAAGTTCTGAGATAATGTCAGATAAATATATTGGCTCTCCATGCTATAGGTCACGGCTGTCCAACTAGCAGCCCACAGGAGGATAACATGTGGCCCACAAGCCCCAGGGGTCACACATTGCTGGCACAGCCTGCAGGTCAGGGCCACACACCACTTGACTAGAGGCTGTATGCTGCCAGCACAAATTGCCAGGCAGGTGAGGGTGGGCATTGCTGCCAATTGAAATTGGGCAGCCCTGTTGCAAGTAGTTAAATCTACTTGAACTATTTCATGGCCTCTCTTGGCACTTCAAAGTACACATGACAGGAACAAACTGAACAGAGGCTATACTGAACAGGAGGGATAAGAGAACCCCTGCAGAAAAGTGAATATGTGAAGGAAAGAGAAGCCCCACTCTCCCAGAAAAAGCATTTTCTGTCAGTCATAAAGATATTGCACCAACAAGAATTTATGACATTTAGATGCAGTAAAAACAATCAATTTCACCAAGTGAAGATAAATGTAAACACCACCCTTAAAAATACAGGATAAATATTTTAATATTTATTATCCTAGGTCTCTTATTTTTGTTTAAGATTTCTTTGCAGTGATTGAGAACCTGCATTCACAGTCTACTAAACTGAACACCTACCTTTTTAAATCACTCTTCCCAACCTCCTGAATCTGCTCCAATGGCAGTATCTGTACTTACCTACATTCCACATGGAAATGTATTTACTTCCTGGGGTACGATCTGCCCCAGTTCAATACGTTTGTCACTGTAATGTTGTTTTAAGTTATCACTTACAATTGTGCCCCATCTTAGCTTTTTAATCAATCCGATTTATGGATCATATTTTAACTAATCCCTGATGTATAATATAGATTAAATTGGTCTTTAAACCCAAGGGCATGCATATCAAAATTGTATTGATTCGTTCTGAAGTTTCACAAGGGCATAAAAAAAACTGAATATATGATTTATGATATATGATTTTTAGTTTAAAACAAGACTGAAATTTTATAAATTTTGTAACTAATAGAAAGGTACAGGTTTGAGAAACTTAAGAATTAACAGCAGCTGAATATCTTGAAGGGTAGTGCTTAACAGCTAGATCAGTTTTTCTTACCTTTGCTATAATATAAATCCATATTAATATATTACTACTCTCTGTTTACATTACTACTCTTCTCTTTGGGATTCTGACATGTTTCAATGCCCAATTACTATTTTTCCACCACATCAAGAAAGAGAATCCTATTATGCTCAAAAGCAGAAGAGTCATGTCTAGATTCCTGCAAAGTAGAGCTTTCCCTGCAGCACCAGTATGAAACAAGAGTGAGACTGTTTACACTGCTAGTCCCCTATAGGCTGGTGCCGTGGGAAAGCTCTATATATCAGAAGTGTAAATGAGCTTAAACTGCTTTTAATCTTCTATTACAGCTCGGGGTGACACAAAGAGAAATATTCTGACTGAAAACAGAAGGGAGCAAGATAAAAAAAGAGAGGAAACATTTGCATATTGAAAAGAACTTGAAAATACAGAGGGAGAGCAAAAACTTGTTAAGTGCTAGTGAAGGAAAACAAATCTTTATTAAAATTGCCCATTACAAAAATAAAGGAGTCTTTGAAAGAGCTTAGGGAAAAGATTGTTCTTCATCCCTATCTAAAACCCTGCTCTTGTCCAGCTGTCTGATACTATTAAGAAACAGAAGTCGACAAGCTGCTGGCTCCAAATTAGCACTATTCCTGTACACCAACTTTCCCCCACTGATTTTCAATATGTACATAAATCAGATACATACCAACTTCATTAAAATCTTCAAATGTGATTTTTCCTGTTGCTTCTCGATCATAATCTTTAAGTATTTTTAGCACATCAGCCTTTTTTACATCAAAACCCAAGGCTCTCATTGCCACCTTTTGGAATAAAACAGAAGTACAACAATATGCCAGTTTCAGACTATATACAGCACAGTTTCCTTTTTCCATGAACCAATATCTAATTACCCAAGACAAAATGTGTTTAATGTGGGGAAGGAAACACTTTATCAAATAAATGTTTTTAAAAAATAATAAACTTTTTAAATCTAAAGCATTCTCTAAAGCACTAATTACAGGAGGATCATACAGAAAAAACACACAAAAATTTTACTCTTTCGGAGAATTCATAAAATGTGTTAAATCTACTGAGCAAGGAGAGGTATTTTAAAAATTTTTATTACAACAACTATAGCTCTGTTAACATGGAAATACCAAATAAAGAAACACGTTTTAATTGGAAACCATCTCTATTGCAATGTAAACAATTGTAAATGATCCTTCTAACACTAAATTAAGGATTTTAGTATGCGGTCTGAATTAAAGGTAAAAAAACTCCAATCCAACAAGATGTGTTTAAGTCTGTAACAAATGCAGGTTTTCTAGAAAAGAGGTTACCTTATGTAGCTATTCCTCATTTGTAATATTTTCAGGGGCACAACACAAGACTCCCATACCTAATCACACAGCCATGGAACTAATTTTAACCAGTAATGGTAAAAGGGAGAACAAGTATGTCTTTCAGTCCTAAAGGATATTAACATGCTGAAGGATATTAAAGATGCCCAATATCAAAAGTGCCTAGCTGTTCTCTGTCTTCAGGAGACCTAATGTAGCTGGAGCTTTGAAACAGAGGGAAGAAAGAGGGGGGAAATCAGCATGCTCTGTCAAGATAAGACAGTCAAAGAAAAGGAATGACATGCTTCTCTGTCCCATAGCCATGACAAAGCCAGAGTGTAGGAAGCTAACTAGCAGTTTCCCTTAGTTAGCTCTCTACAATGTAGTAGAGCTGAGAAGCTCTACTAATCACACAAGATACTGACTACCTCCCCAAACCAGTGTCCATCCTTGATGCACTAACAAGAAAACAGCGATTCATTAAAATAAATAGGTGTACCAAACTCCACATGCTGCCACTTAGAATCTGCAACAAGGAGGACTGACCAGCAGAGCCTCCAACTCCAAATCAAGGTGGTGGTTCCCAGGAATGAAGTCTTAAGTGAGAGGCAGAACAGGGAAGATTTCCAGGAGCTTTCTATAAATTTAGCAAATATGAACTCTGAGAATCAATGGGTCTCCCCAAAGGAAGCACAGGTTAGTAGACACTAGCCCCTCATTTACTGTCTGATAAATATATTTTGCATCTCTCATATAAGCACGCCCTTTGAAATCAATGGGTATTCATAACAGAGCAAGAACTTTAAAATATTTTGTAATTATGGGTGTCAGGCAACTTTGCAGTTACCTTTCTCCTAATTTACATTCTTTCCAAAATGATGAGCCCTGGACAGTACTCAGACTCCTGGCAATTCAGGGAACTACTGCAGCCACCACTGCTATATTACTTTTTTTTTTTTTTTTTGGTGAATGCACATCTGGGACACACAAGTGCACACCTGATCCAATTCTGAAATATAACTATTCCTTCACCAAAGCAGGAGTCCCTATGTGCCAAGCACTCCTGATAGTACGGCCACTTGTTTCAAGTGCCTAAATGTGGGCTGAGCTCTTGTAGATATATAGCTGTAAATAAAAAAAAATACTATCTTAAAAAAAAAAACAACTTACCTTTAATTCATGATAATCTATTGCTTTATCTTTGTCTGCATCAAACAGTTCAAAAGCATCTTTAATTTCCTGCTTCTGTTCTTCAGTCAGTTCTCTTCTTTTCTTCCTTTTAGTTTTGTCTACTGCAAGTTCGTTCCTGTAAGATAGAAAGAACACAAAATTCCTGAATTCATTGTAACTACTACTGGTGAGATTTATCGTCAAAGTATTTTACACACACTGACAACTGACCAACATATCTGATAGGTAAAATATAGTACTGCCTTTTTTTACAGCTGAAGGAAAATGAGAAAAAGAAGTTTAAGTGGGTTACCCAAGGCCAAAAAGAGCTAGCTAGGATTATTTCTTTATCTAGACTTATAATACAGTAGATCTAATTAAGAGATACTGGGCACTTCTACACAAGACATTTACTGTGGAGTTGCCTACATAGCTTCACAGTAAAATACCACCATCTACACATGTGGTGCTATTAAGACAAAGTAAACTAATTACCTCTGCAATAGGATAATACTGCCAAACACAAGTAATATCCTTCTGCAAAGTTATTTACTCTGCTGCAACACACATGTAGACGCTGACCCAGCTGGCTGTGGCACAAGGGTGCTTCAGTGCGGGGGCTACCTGCCGGCTAGCCCCACACTAAAGCTCCCCTATGTCCCAGCAAGCCCCTCTGCAGCACAGAGCCAGCAGCAGAGCAGCTCTGGGCTGGCAGCCTAGCCCCTGGGCCCCCCTGCCACCTGGGGCTGCTCGACCCTGGCTCAAAGTGCTAGTCCCAGGTGCACATGCAAACGGCACACTCAGGAGCAAAATCTCTGGCACAACTACACCCAAATTTATTCAATCACCTTAGTAGCACATGTAGATGTGCACACTGTACCAAAAATACAATTTGCATGTGTAATTAACTGCATGTACAGCTCCATATAATATTTTATACCAGGGTTGTCCAACTGGTGGCCCCAGGACTGTATGTGGCCCATGAAATGTTAAATACAGCCCCCTGAGTCCTATCCCACCACTGCCCCTTATGTGCTCCAGCCTTTCCTCAGGAGATGGGATGGTGCTGCACAATAAACTCTGCAGTACCAGGGGAGCCTGCAGCCCAAGACACCACAGCGGCATGGGAGCCACCTACAAACAGGAGCCTCCACTACTGCAGCCTCCAGTTGCTTAGATGTTAGACAGCCTTGTTCTACACCACCATAAAAAATTATAATATCGCTACATCTGACCACCTTAAGCTCCTTATCTCACCTTGTCCCTATATGTCCAAAAGAAATAGGGTAGGTAAAAAAAAACCAACCTTTTTAAAATGAAATTTGAAATGGTGACAATGTATGTTAAGGCCTGATCTTACTACATACAATTATACAGTCAAAGATCAAAATGTCCAAGTAAGATAAAAACATGCCTGAAGTGCTATCCTAAACTGCATGAACTTGCAAAATAACAGCTCTTTTTTTGCAACACTGAATTATACCCCTACAAAAATCTAAAGACGGCCAATACATGATGAAAAGCTCAGAAAAGAAAGCACATAATTAAAAGGGATACTTTAAACAGGACAAAAATGGGCTAAAGTGGCGACCTGGAAGGACAGCTTAAATGACACAGTGCCTTAAGTGAAATTATTCACCAGTATAGAAGAAAGCTACTGGAATGTGTAGAAGGCTGCAGCTAGAGGTTCAGGCAACATACAACCTACTGCTGGAGCCATTTAGTTTGGTCCTCCAGCTATTACAGCAGTTTACAGTAGAAAAAAGATCCTGTTCTTACTGATGGGAGCACTGATGAAATGAGCTCCAGCTCACAAAAGCTTATGATATATAATTTAGTTAGTCTATAAAGCTCAAATCTACCCTGCTTTCTGCTTGACTTCAGACTAACATGGTTAACAACATGCCTCAGTACAAGTTTACAGAACCACTAAACCTCTACCAATATTTTGCCTACAATTCCTGTCCCAAAAATGCTACCACAAGTAAGACTTAAGAGTAGTACTAGTAACACTAATCAAAAATCTTAAGAAGCATTTTGCAAAGTAAACAAGGCAGTTTACTAAAGAGCTGAAAACAAGTTAAAATGCTTTACAGACTGAGTTTTAAAATTCATTTAAAACAGACATTTTAATTTATATTATGTGGAAGTTTTTTGGTCTCTGGTTTATACAGAAACAATGAACAAGCCTGCATATGTCAGCCAACACTGCTAATATACACTCTTTTCCCTCTGCACTACTAGAACCAAGATGAAGTTCTTCAGAAGCATGGAGACAGTAGGTGCATTGTATGTGATCTTGGCAAATGAAAGCTGTTAAGATGATAGTGGTTGGTACATTTTGCTGTGCCAGTAGAGTGGAACTGGAGTTATGCACACATAGGATGTGCAGTAATAGGCTTGTGCACACACAGAGATTTGCTGGCCATTAGAGATGCACACACTAGTATGGTCAAGGGTATTCAGACTACAGGGGATCATGAGCATGTGTAATAAGGGACTACTAATTGCTGAGTCCACAAGAACGTTTACTAGAGAGAGTATGTGTTGTCGCGATGAGAAAATTGAACACGGATAAGTGAACTGCTATATATATCCAAGAAAAATTGCCTGGGGGGCATGAGGTACGTAAATGGGTTTAATTCAGGTTAGAGACACTGACAGTGTATCCAGAGAATTTTGCTTAAACAATAAGACTGACAAGTTGTGTATGGTGTGTTTGTTTTAATAAATTACAAGGTGGTGTTACTCTGAGAACATGTGTACTCTGTGTGCACCCTTCACCTATGTCCAAGGTAATTTAGTGCAATTACTGGAAGACAGGCACGTTTTTCCTTTAAAATTCAGTGAGCATGGATTAATTTGCAAAAGCAATTCTACACTGCACGCACAGGCATTTGCTTCTAGGGTGATGCAGTGGTGTGATGGGATGATGATGTGATGCTAGAGTTGCGAGTCTCAACCAGGGTGCATTGAGATCCTTTCAAGGGTGCCATGGGCTACCACACAATATTAACACTCTTAGGTATGCAAACACAATTCACAAACTAAACCCAGATTTTTACAAATAGGAATCCCTACTGTTAAAAGTCGGACCTGTTGTGGTATTTTTGAGTTATCTGCAACACAAGAATTGCTCTATAATTTCTCTGTAGTTTTCTTTTTCTTTTTTTTGACTAAGAGCTGGCATTTTCTGAGGAACGTCTCTAGTCTATTAAGTGTCTTGAATCTAAAAAGGTTATGATCCACTGTGTCAGTGGTGTGGTGGTGATGCAATGAGATGCTTCTTTAAAGGAGAGAAGTTAATCACACCTGCAGCTGGCTGTTCAATGTGGTTTACAGACCATTACACATAAAGATGGTTGTTTGACAAGCACCACTGGAATGATGCTGAATAAGTGCGTTAACAATTACCGCTAGATAAGTACATGGGGAGGTCTAGCCATGAAAAGCATTTAGACATTTACTGTTGGTCCTGTCATAACGCGCTTCTCTTCAGCTGGGGTGTGATGGGGAGAGCAGGGGAAAGAATTCTGATGAATTCCCTTCATTTTATCTCTGGTCCAGACTAACGTCAGCCCTGATGGATGATGACTGCATTCATTTCAGAATTTGCTTCCCCCCAGCTTTCCTCACACTGATTACCCGAGAGCCCCTCCAATCCTTTGTCAGACAAATACATAATCCAGGCAGACCCTGTACCACAAGCCTTCCTCAAAATCTTAGCCTCTGCCTGGGATTCATTCATTAACCTCCAGCAGTGTAGCCGTCCCATTTCCACACCCCAGCACACGGTGCAGAATCTGCTTACTGAGCCTGCCAAGCACCCTGTGCAGGCAATAGGCACCAGGAAAAATATTATTTTGGGGGGCTGAGTAACTATTTGCAGGGCAGGGGGGGCTAACCCCTGCCCCTCCCTCCCACAGGGCTGTTGCGGGTTTGGTGCATGCTGGTGCTGTGCACAGTGGTGGAGGAGCAGCACTGCAAACTTAGTGGCAGGGAGGGGGGGGGGAGAATAAGCCCTGTTAGCACCAGCCTTCTGCCAACTACGGTGCAGCGGTAAAGGAGGGACAGCTTCAGCCGGTGTAAATGAGAGCAGCCCAAAGGCTGCCACACGGCTTCAGTAGGTTAGAGTGTGGTGCTGATAAGACCAAGGTCACAGGTCTGACTCCTGGTTGAACCAGGTGGTCTCCCGAAGCCCCTTCCTGCCTTGCTTCTCTTCAGTCGCTTGCGAAGCAGTTTGTAGTTGGCCTGAGGACGGACAGCAGAAGGGCAGCCCTGGGGGCATCCTCCACGAGGGCCTTGTGCCGTGGGGGGGTACCAAAACCGCCGCGCTCAGGAGTCTGAAGCTAGATTAGGGACGAGCTCGTGCCGCGCCCACCCGCCCCCATGGCCAAGGGCGGCCTGGAAGGGACCCTGGCAAAGTCCTGGAGCACAAGCAGGTGTTGCGCGGGGCACTTGACAAGGCTGGAGGCCGGAGCTGGGGGAGCCGAGGCCGAGGACCGCGGCCCCTGCGAGATGGCCAAAGGGGGGCACTTGCTTCTGCACCCGCCCGGCCAACAGCAGGATCCCCGGGCCGCCATACCGACCTCAAGGCCAAGCTCATGGTCCCGCCCGCGCTGCCGGCCACACCAGACCGGGCCGGGCCTCGCTGGCTTCCCCCGCCGCCGGGACTCGGGCCCAGCAGCGCCGCTCCGGCTTCCCCTTGGAAACGCAACACAACCAACCCCTCGCGCCCTGCCACGGCTACTGCTCCTCTGATTGGCTACACCGCAGCTTCTCCCCGCCTCTCAGCGCGCGCTTCGCGCTGGCTGGCTCACGCGCTTCTCAATCAGCCGCGCAGCGTTGGCTCTGTTGCTGCGTTTTTACCCGTCATGCTTTGTGGCCCCGGCTGTTGGCAGGGAAACTGGCGGTACCATTGTGAGGGGAGGGGGGAACGTGGAAAGAGACTGGAATAGTTCTGGCGGCGCGGCTGCGCATTGGCAGGAGCCAGAGCGAGCGCCGCGGAGCCCCGCCCCCCCGGGCTGTGGGGAGGTGGTGGGGCTGCATGGGCAGCGGTGTTGCCTGGTGTACGGTAATTACCGTATTGACAGGATAATGTCAACCCTTGTACGATCAATAATATTAAAAGTGTTCGAAGTGTAAGGATATTGGCTATCCAGAGCATGGGTCTAGAGGCATAGGCAGACAAAACTCTTGGTGCGGAGGCGATATCTATTATTAGGCCAACTGAATAGTTGCAAATATATATTTGCAAGCTTTCAGACCCAAACGCCCTTTGTCAGGGAAAGGACTGTGAGAATTCAAAGACTGTAACGTTTCTCCTGGGTAGAAATGAAACTTCGTATTGCACAGGAGAGCTAAATGATGGTATGGTTCTCCTGAGTAGGCAAGTTCACGTATAAAAATGTTCACACAAACTAGGCGCAAACAAAGGTTGGCGCAAGGTGTTTCCCTCAGGTGTCCGACCGTGTGCAGGTTGCTGAATTTTGCTTCTTTCTTGTTAAGTTGTTCGTGTTGCACAGGGGATCTAGAAGGTGGTATGCTCATGCCTTTGTTTGAGCCTGTTTGTATGAACCTGTTTGTTTCGGGCTGCATCAGGTCCAGACCTTACACACAGCCCAGCTCAATGTCCTGCATGAAGTGAATTATCTGCATCCAAATGAATGCTTTGCCTTGAAACAGTCATGGCTAATTTGAGTTTATTGCCTTTCAAGCCTTGTGTGTAAATGCCTGGGCCCCACCTGTTTTGCTGCAAGTCATATCCAAGCCTAATGAGACTTTCATCACACCAATTCTCTGGTTTTAGCCTAAGTTACCTCCCAAGCTACAAAACCCTGGCTCATAACGAGGACTGTGAAACACAAAACTAGTAACACCAGTCTGCAGCAAGGAGCTGAGTGAAAACGTGTCTGAGGCTAAAAACAGACAACTGGTTTGAATCAAATTTGAGCATCTTGTTTGGCAGCAAAGCCTAGATCTTACAGATAGACAAGCCCATTGCCCCATGGTTAAATGCCATAGCAAGGAAGTTTGGCACCCAGGGCAAGCTCACAGTGGCAGCCTGCCCTCGCCCCACATGGATCTTGTGCAGGGGTGCACACAGTGGCGGGAGCCGCACCCTCTTCTTCATGCCCCCCTCCCCCGGATGAGCCACTCACAGCTCTGTCCTGCACCCCTCCCCGGCTGGGCAGTGCCTGCCCCAGTCCCAGCCCTGCTCCTTCCTCACTGGGGAACCTCAATCTGCCCTCCCATGCCCCTTCGCTTCCCCTGCCCCTTCCCTCCCACAACAGATTCACCAGCTCTCCAAGCTGGATAGTTGACAGTGCTCTCCAAACTGCCGGGATGGCTGCGCGCATGCACGCAGCACTTATCAGCCACATCAGCCAAAATGTTTTGAAATATTTATAACAAAATATCCACCTGCAACTTGCCTGTTGGCACCCCTTCGCTTCAGCACCCAGGGTGGTCGCCTCACTTCTCGCCCCCACCTTTCCTACAGTACTGCCCAAGGTAAGTATGTCTAAATTAACACTTTGCCTCAGAAGAATCAGGGCTCATTTGAATGAATTGCCATTTAAGCCTCATGTATTAAAACTGTACCACATCTGTTTTGATGCAAGTCATGTCCTGGGCTAATGCGTGCCACATTAAATTTGTTGTCTGTTTTTAGTCTTATTTCACAGGCAAGGTAACTGAGAACTTGGAAGGACGTCACTTTGAGCAGATCTGGCCTCAGATGTCAGAGTCAAGACCCTTCCGCTTGACCAAAGAGCCTTTCAGAAGGACCAGAGGAACCCAAGTGGTTCTGTTATCCGCACTAACACTAGGGTGGTTCTGCATCATCCCTTACAGCTAGACCGAATATAAATATTCATGGTTATACTTCTATAGAAAGCAACCTGGGACTAAATCCATAAAAAGGTTTAGTTGCCATTGGCATTCACAACAGTCCCAAATGATTATCTAAAAGTGGACCTTGCAGCAATTACAAAACATATTTCTTCCTTTTTTGCCTGCATCTTTTAATTAGATAGTCCTGGCACTCACTTGAGAGGTGGTAGATCTGTTTGAAAATCTTTGCTCTGTCCCATTTACAGTAGGAACTTTTACATGGGTTTTTCCATATCCTAACCTAACCACCAGGTTACTGGGTATGGAAGGTTTAAAAAAGTTCTCTTCTGCTGAAGCTGTTACACTTAGTATAATAATTAATTTTTTTTGGTCCAGGGGGAGAGAGAGAAAGACTAAGCAAAAGATTAACCAACATATTATGGGATGTAGGAAACTCAGCTTCAGACCCTGCTCTAATAAACCTGCAATAACCTGTTGTTTAGGGAATGTATCAGGAATATGGGGAATCTAGGTTGAAGTCCAGAGGTGGAGATTTGAAAACAGCCTCTTAACTGAATGACCTAAACACTTGTGTAACACCAAACTCTTTTTCATTTGGTTTATTTTTCTCAAGAGATAAGGCTCACCAGCCTTAGGTTGGTGATAATAGGAAAAGGTTCAGAGCTGAGATTCCTAACTTGAAGTTATGTTAAGCACCATTCACCCGTTTAGACAGTTCAATGCTCAGGTTGCTGGTTTCTGTTAAACTTATTCCTAGGTACCTAAGTCTCCCAATCCTTACCTGTGTGGCTGGGTACCTAAGAATGAATCACTGCAGTGTCAAAGACCATTTGTAAATTTAGTTCCTGATTGTTTAGCACAAGCATTAGAATATAACATCTAGGAATCCTAGATTTATTTTTCCTAGATGATCCGAAAAGAGGCACTATTACATTTAGCTATTTGTGGAGTCAGAAATATAAACCTAGAATCCTAATGCTCAGCATTCCACTGCTGTGTCACACATACCTGTAAACCCCGCTAACAACCTTGACCTGGTGGGAGCTGCCCTATGTTTCAAATAATAGCATATCTCATTTCTCCCACCCCCATTATTTTTAAACTTGATTTGAGAGAGATGCTTGTTGCTATGGATCAGAGATTACATGTTCTCAAATGATCCATTTGAGTGTGAAAAACTGGCTGTATTTATAAGTTAGTATAAAAACGCTCAACTAATTGCTGGAATGATTTTATATTGTAAAACACTGGATTTAAAAACATATGTTTTTATTATGGTTACATTAATTGTACTGTTTAGTTTTTATTATTTGTATTTGGTTAAGTGAAGCTGTTCTTTAAAGTATAGGGTAAGGCAGTAGTTCTTGCAGATAGAAAGCAATGGGTAGGAGGTTTTGCCAACATATGCAGAAGAGTCTGTTTGTATAAGCGCCAGAAAGCTCAACAACTTGATCTCAAATACTTGTCTTTCCATAAAGCAATAATCTATTTTTATAGGTGTACAATTAACATAATTGGTGGACCGGATGCCTCATGGTATTGCTAATGAGCTATATGGTCTTTCAC